CCGCGGCCGCCCTGTGCCCTCCCTTCCAGTGCCGGCAGGATGAGGCGTCCCTCACCCTGCTCCTGCATGTGCCCGCCATCCAGCCCCAGAGCCTCAGCGGGACTGTGGGCGTGAACCACTACAGCCTCCGCTTCTCCAGTGACACTGGCACCTATGCCCTCTTCCTACAGTTTCCTCCTGCCAACAGACTGGCGTCCCCCGAGAGCAGCATTAGCGTGTCTGCCCACAATGCTGCCGTCGGGCTGGCCAAGGCCCCCGGCTGCACCGGGCCCTGGGAGAAGTTCTGCTTCGGCCTTGATGCCTCCACTCTGCAGGTAACGGCTTCAAAATGGCAGGGTTGGGGCGTCACGCTCCCCAGAGTGCCGCTGCTTTGCTGCGGTGTGTGACTTCTGCTGTTTGGATTAGTTTACGAATAGTGTCTCAGGGAGGTGTGAGGTTATCGGTCTGAGTTCAGAAGAAGTGACGGAAACTGCTTTCCTCAGTGAGCTGTTACCGGATGTAAGTGGAATGACCTAATTGGTGCTAGGCTTGTCTGAGCAGCACGAAGGTCATGTCACAGAGCTGACATCTTTGTCCTTGGAATTGAAATGACTTTTGCCTCTGATGCTGATTTTTATCTAAGGGAAGTTCTGATGATGAGTGAGAACAGAACCTGCCCTATGACCTTAGCGTTAGCTTTTAAAGCCATGTAAATTGCCCATGCAGCCTACTCATATGAAGAAAGGAGATGTTTATAATACACCAGTACGCGGACATGCATACAGTGTCACGAAACTCACATGTGTGAGTGGCATGTACCTGTGTCTGTATTTCAGGACAGAACTCCTATTTACAGCTGCAGGAACAGCAGCTGTGAACTGCTGTGGATTTCCATTTTGCTGGGCTAGTTTTTCATCTTCTTTTCTTATCAGTCTGAATATGATTCTAGTTGAGATGTTTTATCTGGTTTTGGGTGATTAGGCAGCGATGCTCCCTGTGGCAGCAGGAGGTTGGCATGCCTGCTGAGAACTGGCAGTGTCCCCGAAAAGGGATGCTCACCTTGTGGCACTCTTGCTGTAAAGAAGCACTCACACAAGTTTTGTGGAGAACTATGTTATTCTGTAAGCTCAGAATTTCAAACAACTTATCGCAAGCAGGGATTAAGGCTGCACAATTCTTGTGTAACCTTTCAGCCATGTGATGTGGAGTTTGTCTTTATTTTAGAACAATAAAATCCTTTGCAGGTTGTATCATGTACCATGGGAGTGTAAGTCCAGGAAACTGGCAGGTTTAAAGTATATCCACTGGGATAGTGACTTGGAGTATCTCAATTGCTCCATCCCTACAATTAGAAAGTACTGCAGGATTCTGAAAGATATTTATCCAATTAATATTTGTGCAGCTGAATCTTCATGATTTATTTCCCATTTAGCAGGCTGCATACCTTTTCTGTGACAGCAACTCCTTTGAAGGAGGAGCTGATCATTTCAGGTAAGTATCGAAGACGATTAATTTATTGAGAACCACCTGCACTAAACTCTTTGCAGTGCATTTCCTTCCCTTTAACCTGATCAGGAGCCTGCAAGTCTGTGCAAGTGGGGCCAGAAAGCATTTGGCACTACTCTTAATTGGTGTGATCAAGTGCTGTGTGCCAATGTGACAGCAAATAAGCCATCGTGCAAACTACTGCCGGTTTTCTGTATAGGCACAGAAGGCACGGGATAGGAACTACAGGCATTTTATCCAGCTTTTCAGATAGTCTGAATATCCATGTCTTTCCTCATGCACCGTGGTGTGTGTCTGCGTGCTTGTTTGTTGTTTTATGGCCTGCAGGCCTAAATGCAGGTTTTAAGGGAGAACAACAGCCTTCTGTGACTCTGCGTGGTGATATAGCTGAAAATTCAGTTTGGGAACAGGAAATTTTGCTGCAGTATCTCTTTAGTACTGTGACTGATGGATATTTCTGCATGCCTTGATTTCAGTCTAATGACTGAAAGTGTTTGGTCTGTGCATTCGTTATTATGATTAGGGGAACATCTTTTGATTGAAAGTTGTTAAAAGGGCATGCAGTAAGGGGATTTTGGTCAATATTACATTTTTGTCAGTTAAAAAAATCTTGGAATGTGCTGCATTTATTATATATTGCAAAATGTTTTGGGTGGAGTAGTAGTAGGAGGAGATTGGCATTAGTCACAGGCCTCCCAGCCATTCATTCATGTAGCAGGCGAAAAAAGATTGATTTCTTCTGGGGTCCTTTTGGATACCGGGCCTGCAAATTGAAGCAGCTGAAATGGTCTGAAGTAATTTGTTCTGTTTGCTTTTTTTTAACTGCTATTTCCCCAAAGTGCCTGTGCCAGTGCTGATAGCTGCATTCACTCAGAGTGAAGTGAGAAAAATTAATATTTAATTAGAGGTACTATTATACGCTGTCTTCTGTCCATTAACTATTTGCTCATGGTAGCTTCTCTTCTACTTATGTCGATTTCTTCAATTTGTTTGCAGTCATCTCTGGTGTTTTTCTGCTTGGAATCTCTTTCTATAAATCAGAGCTACGGTTCTTGCGCTGAGATCTGCAAGGAATTACATCAGTCATAGGAGAGGGTTTTAGGAACACACACAGCAGCAGCACCCTGTTTAATCACTTCAGGGAGCTTCCAGTGGCCTAGGCGAGCAGGAATTTTATCCTGTGCCTCCCAGGCACACTGCTGTCTGCTTGTTTGTAATCTCTTCTCCCACAGTAGCATCGCTAGAGGATACTGCATGGCAAAAGAAGAGGCCGATGTTTTTTTACAGATAGGAAATTCCTATTTTTCTATCTTCTGCGAAGTTGTTTCTTACTGGAGACCGAGGGTTTCTGTGTTGCTTCAGGGAACAGACTCCTTGCTGGGTTGGTTACTTGAGAAGTCTGCCCAACTCGGCAATGGCTCGTGCACAGTACCCTGTTCAGCTGCCTGCGTAATTGTCTCCCATTAACTTGCCAAACAGCCAGGAAAATGTGTTACGATAATTGTGCACCGCGTGAACAGAATGCATCTCATCGGCAGCCTCCTCCCTGGACTGATGTAGTGCAGCGTGTATCACTTGATTTTGATTGCCTGCACGCCTCTGCCCAGATCAACACTACGATAACGGTGCCGGTAATTGCACAGCCCTGCCTTGCGTGCTTGTGATGTTCCTGTTATCGCACTGGCCTCTTTTCTCATTGGAAATTGGTCTGATACAGATATTGGTAGAAGAATGAGTTGAGCTTGTCCTAAGGACACCGTTCTTGAAACAGAATTTCAAGGACTGGTTTTCCTTTTGTACAGTCAGATACGTTTGAATCCCTGTGCTGAAAGATGATATATTTAGAGCTCAGTTTCCATAGATGCTGAGCAGTCTGAATTCCCACCCCAGCAAGTGCTTATTTTCAGCAAATCTTTACAGTGCAACAGTCCTCCCTGGACTTTTAACTGTGTCATTGCAAGTATTCCTTCATTTGGTGTCTCTTGATGTTGCTTTGATTTTACCACTTTCCCATACAATAGGTAGTCAGCTCTCTGCTGACTCAGTCCTAACTTCTCATCAGCGGTTGCAGCCATTGCTTCTCTTTTCTCTCTGAGTAGTTTTGCTCCTTGGCTAAACCATAACGTCCACTCACTTGTTATGGTGAGCAGAAATCTTATAAAAATAAAGGTCCCGTAACTTTGGACTTCACGGACCAGGGTCACGTATTTCAAGGGTTTAACAATTCTCTTTTGTCACTGCCCTGTGCTCAGTCACTCTACCAGAGACCACGCAGCATTGATCTTTCTGCAGGGCTTGCTCCAGGCCCTGTTTTTCCAGGGGAATAGAGACCTGTGACCTGAGGAAGTTCCCTTCACCATCTGCCCTTTGCCCCGCAGGACCAGCTGGGGGCTGCGCTCCCTCTGTTACTCTTTACTGCAATTCATTCACTAATGCCTTTGACATTGCTCACTTCCATTTGTTTAAGTCCTGGGAGCTCAGGCCTAGGAAACTCCTGCATCAGAGTGCCCCTTCATTTTAAGACAATAGAGCCTGGGGAGTAAATGATGAAAAAAGAATGGTCGAGAGTTAAATAACCATTAATGAAATTTGTAAGCCTGCCAGGCAAGGTTTCCGAGAACAACATGTCCCAGAATGTCCTGGTTTACGGCAGAGCTGGAGTTGGGCAATTACTGAAATCATACCTTCGTAAAGCACCGTCTTTTAATGTTTGGTCTCCTGGGGTTAAATGCTCAATTCTTAACAGAAATAAACCCCAGTTTTCTGGTGGGTGTATCTGAAGTACTGAGACTTGGAGGCTCGGTTATACTCGCATGTGAAACATGTTTGCGAGATGATTAATTCTGCCTGCAGTTTTTGGGTCATGTGTGCTCATTTTCACGTGATTAGAAAAACGTTGGTTAAAGTAAAATTCCCTTTCATGCTGATCCACACCCTTCCCGCCCTTCTCTGTGGACTGAAATGCCTTTGTTCAGAGGATGTGTGCTCACTCTCCTGGTCAGTGCTTCCCTCCTGGGGACCCCCTCGCCAGGGAGGGAATCGCTGCAGTCAGCCCATCCCTTTTGTAATAAAAGCCCATGTTCTGTTATGGAAAATATCAAGATTTAACTCACGTAAACCCCCACGAGGCTCCAGAGAACAGCAGGGAGCAATATTTCCCCTGCTTTGCTATGCATTGAGATTATGTTTTTTTAACATTTACAGTATGAAAAATATTATACTAAACACTCCTGGTTAGTTCATGGCTTGAAGTAAGCTTGAGGTATGCTGTTTGTGAACATTAGTTAATGGAGGTATCTAAAAAGGAATTGCATAGTGATAGGAAAGCTTTGTTTAACTTCTGTGGGAATGTTGATGCCTTCATGGAGAATGGTTTAGACGGGTGTGCTCCTGATCATAAAAAAAAAAAAAAAAAAAGGTGTGATTTTTCTGCTTGGCACAGCCACCAGTGCCTTGTGAAGGAGAGCCTTTTGAAGCTCTGGTTGCTTTTTCCTTGGGAAAGCTGCCGGTAAATACTGTTGGAGCCCCGTGACCTCTGCTCGCTGCATGCACTGACTGTCACGGGTTGTTTTCTAACACCTGGACTTGTGTTTTCTGCTTTGGCAACAGGTAGGCTGTGGGGCAACTCCATTACAAACACCTGCTGTGACCTGTTTACACAAAACCCCCCATGGGAACAGTATTATTTTTAGTTGTCTTTACAACAGAGGGACAGTCAGTCTTTTTAATTAATCCTCCCTTATCTCATTGAACATGGTGCTTGTCTTGTATGTGCTGTCAGGTGTATTGCGCCCAGGCAGATCCCGTGCTCTCCTGCCACGGGGGACAC